TAATGTCTGCCTTTGGCTCAGGTCATGATCCCAGGGTCCCAGGGGTCAAGCCCCACATCGGGCTCCCTCCTCAGCGGGAAGCCCGCTTCTCCCTCTCCCGCTCCCCCTGCTTGTGTTCCCTCTCTTGCTATGTCTCTCTGTCAAATAAATAAGTAAAATCTTTAAAAAAAAAAAAAAAAGCACAGGAAAGATTGATCTGGACAATATTCCCACAGACTATAGCACTTCCAGGCCTCTTGGTAAATACCGATTTGGCATCCAAATTTTCCTGTCCTCAAAGATCAAAGTCAAGATCCCGTAAGCATCGGAAAAATATTATAAAGCAGTTATGGTTGCAAAATGAGCAGAAAAAGTTGGGAGATGGCAGACAGCTGGTTAAGGCCTAAGTTTACTTCTTGGCACCAATGCATCTCTAGTGTGCCAATGACAAAATATCTCCTCCAGAAAGTTAACTCTCCCCAGTCGACACAAATCAAGTCCATTGACTCAGGCATCACATCATGAAGATTTTTAACTTCTCCTAGGTTTATTCAAAGAATGAGCTGGCTTACATGTAGAATTTGACTGCTTCACATTTAATGGTTATATTAGCCAGGATTCTCCAGAAAGACAGAACAAATAGGATATATACAGATATTTAGGAGGAGATTTATTATAGGAATTAGCTCAAAAGGTTATGGAGGCTGAGAAGTCTCACGATCTGCCATCTGCAAGCTGGAGAACCTGGAAAACCAAAGGTATAATTCAGTCAGAGACTGATGGCCCAAAAACCAGGAGTTCTGGTCTCCAAGGGCAGGAAAGGATGTGTCTCAGCTCAAAAAAAGAGAGAAAATTCCCCCTTCCTCTTTTTTTTTCTATTTTGGCCCTCAGTGGATTGGATGATGCCTGCCCACACTGGGGCGGGAGGATCTTCTTTACTCAGTCTTCTGAATCAAATGCTAATCTCCTCCAGAAACACCCTCACAGACACATCCAGAAATCATATTTATTTGCTATATGTGTACCCCTTAGCCCAGTCAAATTGACACATAAAACTAACCATCACAATGATGTAATAGATTTAAGGGTTTTGATATCTTGATACAATTTTTATCATCATTTCTCCCTCCCTAGTTTTTAAGCAGACTGCCACAACAGCCTTGAGCACCTCCTGATCATCTTCTTACTGCAGGCAGTGATTTTTCTGATAATAAACAGAGCCAATGCAATGTATTCCTCCTGTTAATAGAATTGCAACACTATGGTATAATAAGACTTGCTTCTAGATATTTTTCTGTTGTAGTTTTATATAACATTTTAATAGGTAACCTTTTTGCTTAGAGATTATCGATTTGAAATCTTACTACTGCAATACATACTTGTCTAATTAGAAAGAATCTTTGTGGTAAGTTTGTGTTTACATTGATAGTGCCATTTAAACTTTATACCATAGCCAAGGAAACAATATGATAATGATGCTCAAAATGAATCTTAACATTTTGCTAGAGTTAAATTTTCCAACTCACTTTAGGCAATGTATACTTTTCAAAAAAAAATCACAGTAACATTTTCTATTTAGAATTACTATGCATATGTTTTGCTTATCCACTCCATAAAAAAAAAAACTCTTAGAAAAAGTGGCATTATTTTTATTAGGTGGGGGAGTGAGTGTGTGTGTGCGTGTGTATGTGTGATGTATTTATTTATTTTAATATGATTATTGTGTAATTTACTTAATGGGTTTTAGTTTGAGTTTTTGAAAGGTATCATGACTATAAGCAAATTGATAGGAAAGTGGGTAACAATGAATTAAAGGTTACTGGCAGCCTAAGACACTGTTTATCTCTTTTGAGGTAGACAGAATTCAAATTGCCTTCATTAGCTGAGCAATATGCTGTGGAAAATGAGCTGGGTACTTATCAAGAGGCTCTTTTCATTTGCATTTTTGCTAAATTATCAAGCTGCTCTGTTTTCTAGGTGCTTAAGAGCTGTGAATAGGAAAGAAAGAAAAATTTTCAGTTAAGTAAGCTTGGGGGCATTTGAGGACTAGAGTAAAAAAAGAAGTTTATCAATGAAGATGTCAGAATTGTTCCTTGTATGTATGTGATACGAAAAGGTAATCTTACAGACAGTCAGGATGTAGGATGTACAAATGCATTAATTCTCCCCACACACACCAGTAACACAGCAAAGCTAGAGGCTGTTCTTTTGATAAATGATCAATACTTCAGTATGACACCACCTTAGCTGTCCTGCTGTTGCTAGTTAAAAGTCTGAATTTCAATTAAGCAGTAAATCTTTATGGTATTACATCTTGAACAGACAGTAACTTCTCCCTAATCCCCTACAATTCTGAAACACTATGATTTTGTAGTCATTTTCCTTAAGCTCACTCAAAAGAAAAAAATATGTTTATATGATCAGTAAAGAAATATTTTCTTCCAAATGAAACACTAATTATTAAATAATTTGTTTTGTTTAACAGTATGCCTATGTACAAAAATTATTATACTTCTACAGTATAAATTGTATTAATACATAACCTGAGTCAAAAGTCCATTGACATGATTGTATATCTTTAGCTCATATGTTCTATTTCAATTCTACCCCACATATATATTCCTTGGAAAACCTCTTAAGTTGTGCAAAACACAGAAGCATTCATAAGAGCAATCATACTTAAATCAGTGTAAACATTCTCATTTCCTCTGTCAACTCAAATGTCCCTACAGATTTTTTCTTAAAGCTTTTTGTTTATTTTCAAAAAGTATTTCTTGATACCTAAAAAATGCAGTTAATAGAGGATACATCTAAAAAATGTGTGCAGCTTTCTTAAGGATTTCAATATTTTAAGAGAAAATATAGGCCATTTGATAGGCACCATCATCCAAATTAACATGACTTCAAAGATCCAGATTTATAGTAGCCTTAACAATCAGATCTATTATTAGACTAAAATATAATTTTGGAATTATAATTACTGGAATAAAAAATAATTTTCTCTGTTTAGAATTTCAGAAGAAGTCTTTTCCCAGAAACAAATGCAGTTTTGCCTCCATCAGCAAAATTCTACCTTTATAAGTGCTATTATTCTCAATCATTTAGAATGCAAACATTTATATTAACAATTGACTTGAAGATGTCTGAACTATTTCATTAGAATGCCTGTGTAATTTTGATAAAAATAAGATAGGGGCGCCTGGGTAGCTCATCGCTTGAGCACCCGACTCTTGATCTCAGCTCAGGTCTTGATCTCAAGGTCATGAGTTTGAGCCCCACATTGGGTGTGGAGCCCACTTAACAAAAAAAAAAATTAAAAAATAAGATAGACACATTTAATTTTAAATGACTTATGTATCAAACCAGTGTGAGCCTACTATCACGTTGCAGATATTTTATTATTGGATGCTCAGGCATACAGTAGGTTAAACATTCCTGCATAGAAAGCATGTCTACTTGCAATGTCCCAGCCCTGCAATACAACATACAGAGTGAAAATAAGCACACAGCATGGTAGAGGCTTCTTGAGCTATGATCAGTTAGCCAGGAATTGAATGCAGCCTGCTCAACTTCAAAGTTTTTGGCTTTCATTACACTACTATATAGTGAAATCTCTCAATATACTTGCCATTTGTCTCCAAATCAGTTCTTAAAAATGAAGTCATAATTTCATAATCAATATACCTATTTTTTTTAAGATTTTTTATTTATTTATTTGAGAGAGAGAATGAGAGAGAGAGAGAGCACATGAGAGGGGGGAGGGTCAGAGGGAGAAGCAGACTCCCCACCGAGCAGGGAGCCCGATGGACTCCAGGATCATGACCTGAGCTGAAGGCAGTCACTTAACCAACTGAGCCACCCAGGCGCCCTCAATATACCTATTAATAACAATGCAAAAGGCCATTTTATTGAATACTAGATGTTTTATTTTCTTTTGGAAAACAGGAACAGGTATTTATTATATTTTCTTTCTTTGGAAATTGGTGTTATTTTAAATTTAACTCAACTTATTTCATTCTACCCATAATGTTTGAACGCTGTGCATTCTCAAAATGCAAGGCTATTACACTAATCCCGCTAACTAAACTTTCTGATGAACTAACAAAGCTTAATTTGATGGCTGGGTTTAACTCATTAAGGAGGAATTAAGAGGTTTATTAGCTGATTAGCTGTCACTAAAAAATGCATGCTGTATTTTCAACAAAATTCTACTGTGGTGAGGAAGAAAAATATTTAAGTCTTGATTACAAGAATTGCAAGAGGTGGATGCTTAGGAATCTTCTAACTCTAGGATCCTATAATTATGTGAACACTTTTTAAACATAAAATTGAAGTATGGATTGTTATCTAGGAAGAAACACATGCTTCTTATATGAAGTAACTATTCTTTTAGTTATTGAGTTATTTTAAATTTATTTTTGCATATCAGAAGATTAAAAATCTGACAGATTTGTTGGAACAGATTTGCAAAAGTGGTTTTTTGATAAAAATAAAGATATAATATAAAAATAATAAATTATGTAGTCGTATCATATTGGGAGACCAAGAAAATGGATGAAAGGAGCAAAATTTTACAAACTAGAAAAGTGATAATAGAAAAGAACAGGAAAGATGGCAGAAGCTACACCACAAATATCAATCAGGTTAAGTTTTAAGTGGAAACACTGCAATATAGTGTAGAAAAATAGCAGAATTTCCTTAAGCATGTTCCATGACTTAAAATACTATGAAGTCTTTTAAGTGACATTTTATAGAAAACAAAATTCACTTTATTTACAGAACACAGTGTAAAGTTCTAATCTCTAGGCAACAGACCACACAAAAAACTAGTAACGTCTACTGACCCATACAAATTCTTGTTCTAAAATGTTATCAAAAAGCCTCATATCATGTTTTATCATTTTAAAAACAAATTTAGAATCAGCACCTTGAAAGTTTTTAAATTACTAAATCACTTGGGCATTCAAAAATAAAAATAAAAACAACTATTTGCAATGAAAAAAGCTATGCAATGCACTTACCATCATGATTAGGATTTCCTAGTGTCCATGGCTCATCTGAGTCAAAATGAGTATCTCCCCCAATTCCTGGTCCAGGGAAATAGGCATGTGCCAAAAACCCTCCCTCTCCATCAAAGGGAGAACTATCTCCATGAAAACCAGATGCGAAAATGATGGTTATATCCACATCGCGTTTGCCATTTTCCAATTCGCTGTAAGGAACTTCTTCAAATGTCAGAGGAGTTACATTCTGCCACACATCAAAGGCACGGCGAATAGCTTTGCGGGTTTCAGGGTCTCCTACTTTAGGAGTTACGTTCTTTATACTGAAATTTAGAGAAGAGAATAATAAGTATGGCTTTTTAATATACAATCTGACTTATTACAGATTGGCTTTTTACAGATTTTGATCTATTCAGTTGAGTAAAATACTGTAAAAACAGCCTTATATTAAATAGGAAAGAAATTAATCAATGCCTCATATCTTTACAGCTAGGTTTCACTACACTGGGGTTATTTAATTCTCAGCAGTATAGTATTCATCTGGCAAGGCTATAAATAGAAGTTCTCTGCAGAATGGGTTAACAGTAGGGTAAACTGGATCAATCAGTCACTTTGCCTCCTGAACAACAGAAAGGTAGCTTTGCCAAATGACCAAACAGGTGCAACAGTCTTGAGCTGAAATTAAAAATTCAGTTTCTTTCTTGTTATCCTTACTTTTAGGGGCACATCATTGTGTGCACACGTTACTTCCAAACAATGTCGTTGTGTCATTCTTTATCTATGAACACCAATTCAGCAGACACAAAGTTATTTCTTAGTTTTTAAAGAAAAGGTTAATTAATTATAGTTTCTTATGTTCTATTGTTTTCTTATGATATACTTAATTCTTTCTAGTTATAAAAAGCAATGTGAGTGAATGGCTTTTTAATACAAAAATTTAAAATTATATGAAATTAAAGAAGTGACTTGGACATTATTTATTTAGTTTACTTTTCTTTTTTTTTTTTTAAAGATTTTATTTATTTGAGAGAGAGAATGAGAGAGAGCATGAGAGGGAAGAGGGTCAGAGGGAGAAGCAGACTCCCTGCTGAGCAGGGAGCCCGATGCGGGACTCGATCATGACCTGAGCCGAAGGCAGTCGCTTAACCAACTGAGCCACCCAGGCGCCCTAGTTTACTTTTCTTGAGGCTAATATCAAATGGCTACTTCGACCAACAATCTTACATCCATGAATCCATATATTTATACTAAAAAAATCTTAATACATAAAAGAAGGTATAATATTCAGGTGAATATTTATTGCAAAGCAGTAATAAAAGAGAAATGGAAGCTAAACAACTTAAAATGATGGAGTAGTAGTTAAGTTATGGTGTCTCTATTACATGTTATAATATAAGTAGGACTCAAAATGATTTTTTGCCATTTAAGGCTATTTAGCAGCATAGAAAAAATTTCAGATATACTTTCCCGTGGAAAAATAATATGCAAATTATATTTTTAGCCCACTTGTAGCTATGTCTCAATAATTACAAATATTAGGCAGGTATCATACCAAAATAATAATAATGGTGTTAACTGAGCATTTACTATGAGCCAGGCAAGCATTTTACAGTAGAAAACTTAAGAGAAAATTTGAAGTGGTAGAGCTGGTTTTTCAACTTAAACATTCTGACTCAAGAATCCATTATCTACGCTAGACCAACACATCTAAAAGAAGGTTGTCACTATTTTCTAATATATATATACATTGATTATTTGATGGTAAATGTCATTCAGTGTATATAAAGAAAATGAAGAAGCAAACCAGGTGGAAATGGAGTGGGGGCAGGGAGTGTTCCAGGAAGGAGAAATGACAAGTGAAAGGTCTTGAAGTTGGAGACATGCTTAGCGAGTTCCAAGAATGGTGAGGTGGCCACAGCTGGATATGAGGCCAGAAAGGTAGCATAAAATCAAAGATTTTGGCCATTGTAAAGAGTTTGGCTTTTGTTCTAAGTGAGAGGGGCAGAACTGGAGCATAATGAGCTAAGTGATACTGGACTTACACTTTTTAAACAAAAGACTATGCATTATGTGGAAAATAGATTGAAGTGAAGCAAGAGTTGAAACAGGCAGACCCACTGGGAACTCTTGCAAAACTTTAGGTGAGAGATGACAGTGGGGGCCAGGGCACTACCAGTACAGATATGGAGAAGTAGATGAATTTTGGATAAATTTTGAGGATACACCTGCCAAGATGTACTGATGGCTGGACTAAGGCTGTGAGAGAAAAGGAGGTGCCAAGGAAGACACCATATTTTCTGAGCTGAGCCAAAGGATGTTGGACAGAGTAAAATAATTCAAGCCTGTTCAAGGAGAATGTTATACAGTATTTTGTTATTGTTGTTTTACTTGTTTGTTTTAATTTCATGTCCTTTCAGCGTGATGCTCTGAACTCTATTTTGAGAAAGGGTAAATTTCTATATTGAGACATCCGGTGATGCTTCTGTCTGGCTTGTTAATCTCTAAATTTCCTGTCTGATGGCTGAAGAGCATTCAGATTAATGTTGTAACTTTGAATTTCGTCTAAATTAGTTTTCCTAGTAGTCTTCTATTTTACTCCCACCCTACAGGAAGACCCTCATTAGTGGGGAAGTGTTTTTATGACACATTATTTGAAAGAACGTACTACATAAAGGCCACTGCTCTAGGAGCCTAAGAGATACAGCTGTGAATAAGACTCTGCTCTTGTAAGCCTTACATATTTTAGTGATAAGAGATACACAAAAACCCAACAACATCAAAAAGATAAATACAGATGGCAACAAGTGAAGGGTGAGGAGGTAAGGTGAGTAGATGATAAATGGGATTTCAGTGACAAAAGGAGCCACACATGCTTAGCTAGCATGAGTTTCTAGCCAGAAGGAACAGTGAGCAGCCCACACACATTTGGCCAGTTCAAAGAATGGGAGTGCTCAGGGAAATGGTGTAAAATGAACACTCAGGACAGTGGGCAGGAAGCGAGTTATATTCTGTGAAAGGAAACCACTGGAGAGTTTTAGGCAGAGAAGTATTTTGGTATTATTCTAGTTTACAAAGATCACTGTTTCTGATGAAAAATGAATAAGAAGACAAGCATGGAAGCAACGAAACATTTTGGAAGTCCAAGCAAGAGAAGACAGAGACATGTCCCAGAGTGGTAGTCATGGAGATATGAAGAATTAGACCATTTCAGTGTATATTCTGAGGGTATTGTTAATGGGAATTGGTGTTGTATTCAATGTGTAATGAAGAATTTATTTTGTTTTGAAATAAAAGATAATCTTACAAAAGAAAAAATCATTAGTATGATATGTATATAAGTACATAATGGTTCTGAGAAAAATGAAGCTACATAATGAAGAATAATAAATGGGGAGGGGGCACCTGGGTGGCTCAGTTGGTTAAGCATCAGACTCTTGATTTGAGCTCAGGTCATGATCTCAGGGTCGTGGGATCAAGCCCCATGTCTGGCTCCACGCTCAGCACAGAGTCTGCTTGTCCCTCTCCTTCAGCTCCTCCCTCTGCTCCACCCCCTGCCCCCTGCTCTCATTTTCTCTCTCTCAAATAAATAAAATCTTAAAAAAAAAATGTAGAGTATCATATTGTAAATACATCACCGTGTTTTTCAAAGTCAAGCTCGATTAACTTCCAAAATATACTTAACCACAACATTTGTAATGTCATTAGTAAATACAAGACACATAATGGGTGCCTGGGTGGCGCAGTCGGTTAAGCTTCCAACCCTTTTCAGCTCAGGTCATGATCTCAGGGTCCTGAGATCAAGCCCCACCTGGGGCTCCTCACTCAGAACAGAGTCTGCTTAAGACTTTCTCTTTGTCTCTTTCTGCTCCTCCCCACCGCGCTCTCTCACGCGCGCTCTCTCTCTCTCTCAAATAAACAAATTTTTAAAAGACACATAAGTGTACTTCCAAGTTAGAGTTCTGAATGAAGTACAACTACATTTAGGAATTTTTATGCCATTAAGATGTATTTTGTATTTACTAATAATTGAAATAATAAGGGCAACAGAGATACGTGATATAAAGAATAATAGGACTGTTATTCTTAGTAGTTCTAATACATGATGCCCAAAGTTATTAATATATATATTTGCAAAACAAAAAATGCTATAAAATGAATAAAATGAAGGTTATGTTTCAAAAACTTAATAGAACTAATTTAATTTTAAAATGTTTTGGGGTGCCTGGGTGGCTCAGTCAGTGAAGCGTCTGCCTTCGGCTCAGGTCAGGATCCTGGGGTCCTGGGATGGGCCCCGAATCAGGCTCCCTGCTCCGCGGGGAGCCTGCTTCTCCCTCTTCCACTCCCCCTGCTTGTGCTCCCTCTCTCCCTGTGTCTCTGTCAAACAGATAAATAAAATCTTTAAAAAAAAATGTTTTTACTTCGCTTTTCTGTAAACAGAGTACTTAGAGTGAACATACTTTTCATTCTAATAAGACAATTGATTTCATTTTTCGAAGACTTTATCAGGTTTTTTCATTATGCCATTTCACTGATTCTTTTAAACCTCCATGTTGCTAAATTTTGAAACTTTTACCTAAAAAAATTAATAAATGTTATCATTAATTCATTAATGACCATGCCTTGTACAACCCTACATAATAAAGCTGATCAAGTGAAAATTTTTCAACCTCTTTATTCATCGGAACAATTGGTAGTGAGGGAAAGGTATGTCAATTGACTTACAAGATAACTATATAAAGTCAGGATTCCCTAGCTTTAACTGCACTGAATCCATACCGATTCATTTAATAACAATTCTACATATTAATCATGGAGTATTTCCTCTTTAACTTTTTCAGAGAGTAATAAATCTTTTCCAAAGTTAGAGCATTTTATCTCTAATATGAAAGTAAGAAAAAAAACTAAATATTTTGGCATTTGTATTGTGTATTAAAGGTTAAAAGAAGCTTATACTCTGCCTTATTATTCTCAGTAAAAACATATAAATCTCACAATGATAAGTGAGAAGTTTACTACACTACTTCTAAGATAATTTTTAAAAGGGTAAGAATTTGACATTCAGAGAAATAGTAAGTTTTGAGGGAATGAGACCTTTATTAACAAAACTCTACTGAAATATGTATGTGTTCTCTTTATTGATGACACTGGAGGAATTATTTTGCTTCATTAGTTCTGTAAAATAGATGAATGTAAAATGTAAAAATATCAAACATTTGTTCATTTGAACAGATGTTACAGTAAATGTGAAACAAGGCCATTGCAATAGGTTTTGTCCTTTCAAATGAAGTAAACTTTAATAAGTTACTCGAGTGACATAGTAAAT